TCTATCTATCTATCTATCTATCTATCTATCTATCTATCCAGCTGTCTGTCTATCCATCTATCTATCTATATATCTCGCTCGCTCGCTTTCTCTTCCTGTCTATTTTCCTTTTTTATGTTACTTCTTATACTTGGGAAAATTAGCTACCCTTTCTCAATGTTCAGTGCGTGAAATAGATTTTCCTCACAGTCCAAAGTTTTCTTGTACTTCGTCCGCAGGCTCGCCTCTCCCTCCTCTGCAGAAAACAGCTCTCAGAATTTACAGCATGCGTTTCTGTCCCTACGCACAGAGAACAAGATTGGTTCTGGCACACAAAAACATTCCGTAAGTTTACCGTGTGGGGATATTTTACCATTGATCGGTAGTAATGTACAGCATTAATTTGTTGACAAGCTCAAGACTGCTCTTACCATTCTTGAGATATACTGTATTTAAAACATGTATTCTTAACAGCCGAAACAAACCAAAACGACCCTCTGAAAACGTTTATGTAAATTTAATGCTGCAGTTTAGTCATGCAGTTTTGAGCAAAATTCTTTCAAAATGATATTTCTTGTGTATCGAACCCAGGTTTTGCTCACCAAGTTAAAGCTAGAATGCAAACTGCAGTTAAATATTGTGCTTACAAGGTTAAAATCAATATACTCAAGAATAGTGTTAATTATTGTATTCGTGAGAATGTAATAATAATTATCATTATTATCATTATAATCTTATTATAATGGAGCTAAGCCCGTTTGAGAGGCCAGTATACATTTTTTTACACAGGTGTCCATAAAATCTACAAAAATGTGATCCAATTAAAAATTGTCACAAAGGGTTACGTGGGCATATTATTTTCAAAGTTCGGAAACTACCTTTTGATTTTTCAAGTTTGATGGTTATTCCTATAAATCGAAGCTCTCAGAGATTTTCACTCTGCCTTAAACCTTTTCATATTTTACGGGGGGGCTACTTCCGTTTTAGTTTGTGTTTCGTCGTGAGCGTGAGCTGCTTTTACTGGCCTATTTCCAGATCTAGAATCTCGATATCTAACTCGATTTGGATGTGTGCTTCGCACTTCAATTTGTACTTCAGGCCAAACTTCATTGCACTGACATTTTCTAGATATATTTGGTGAAGTGATGTCCCCAACACGTTGATTTAGTTTAAACCCACAAAATGTACACTTCGTTGTATTGACATTCTCAAAATTTGGAGCGTATTCTCTGCGTAGCTTTTTATGGGGCAAGGCTCTAGATCTAGATCTCTATATTATATCCTAAAAGCATTTGGAGCACAGAATTCAAGACTGATTTGGAGTGTTTAGCAAGAAGATGCCAGTCTAGATCGAGATATGTTCGGAGTAAAGATGTTTATGAAATATTAGTTAATAATGTAGTAAGATGCATCTAAACGTAGAATTTATTTAACTCCACGAAACAGAGGGGAAAGCGAGAAGAAACAGAGAAAGGGGAATATCAATCAGAATTTACGCTCTAATAGTCAGAATCTGGAGGAAGACCTTGAGCGTGCTGGGCTAAGAAAGAATGGGCCTGCGTTGGTCTTAGTGTTCAACGCACTGTCCTTTAGTGAAACTTAAGTTGATCGGAGATTACGGACTCATAACTGAGGGGAATTCAGTGCCGTCTGTGAACATTGCAATGCCATAAGATGGAGAGAAGAGAGAAAACATTCTGCTGTAAAAATGGCAAAGTTACTATACCGGTACCTCCCGCACCCCTGCAGGAACTAATAAAGTATTACGATGTAACTCAGAGCGGCAACTCTTTATTTTCACACTGTAGGTCATACAACAATGCTGTCGCCCTTTGCTTCAATTGGGCACAGTGAACAAGCTGAACAGGGCTTCAATCCAACCTTCAAAATCCAGGGCAACCAGTACAACCGAATAGGAAATCTTCTTCCCTCTGCTGGACAGTTAGACCTGCTTTTACAATGACTGCGACCAAATCTCAGGGAGAGACTTTGCAAAGGATAGGGGTTTCTTTACAGGGCGATTTTTTCATATTATGTACAATTGTATGTCGCAATGAGTCTTGTTAGGTCCAGGGACTCTAATTGGAATACATATAAAAAGACCTGCTGCCCAGGACGGAGTTCCTGATGGCGCATATACCAGCAATGTTGTCTACACAGAGGTCCTACGGCAGTGAATCCGGTACAAACATTTTATCTTTCAAGTGATTTCCTATCACTTTATCACGGTTCGTAGAACGGGTTTGTATCTAGTAATAATAATAATAATAACAATAATAATAAAAATAATAATAATAATAATAATAATAATAATAATGATAATAATGATAGTAATCGGGATAAAAGAAATGAGGGTTATGATGATTTCTGGCTTTTGCTATAGCCAAGGAGACCACTTTTGGCAGAGATACGTGTGCCACATTTTGATCACCAGAAGCTCCACTTCCATTTTTGTAATATGCGCCGCTTGCGGGTTTCTCTCTTGGTTTCAGCATTTTGTATTCATAAAGCCTTATCACTTGCTGCCCCCTGTCACTGATTCTCATCAGATGGTTCTGTGGGGAGCTAGACTCTCTCATTGGCAATAATTTATGTTGAAGTCCTTCTGAGGCATTTTAGGACGTCTTTGTAGCTTCTTTTTGTTGCGCCAGCTTTACGCTTCCCTGAGGACACTTCGGAATATAATACTGCCTTTGAGATTCTGAAATCAGGTATTTTTACGATATGGTCAGTCCAGAAAAGACGAGTCCTTTTTTTGGTATGGAAAACAGACTCGGGGTTTGCCACTTTCAGAACTGTCAATGCAAAATCATTATATGCAACTTGCATACTTCCGTGTTTGCAATGTCAGGAACCAGACAAATTATCAGTTCTACAAACTGGCAAACAATTCAATTCGTTTACCCTTTTGTACCAGGCTGTCGAAATAAAAGGTCCAAAGACGAACCGAAAACCAAACCTACTGGGTTTGAATCCAGTTGGATTGAGTAGGCATTTAGGCATAAAACAATCTATTCAACGTGGAACTTTGAAAAATAAACGTGTTTCATTTTGAAAGCTGTTGTCGAATTTAGTTGCATTCGTATTTTGCCAAAATGTAAGCTTTTGCCTCCCACGCGAAGGAAAGTCTAGCTGGTGCCAACTCAATCTCTCATTTTCTTTTTTATTCCTCTTTCTGTTTGGGGAGGAAAATAATTGTTGTTGGGTTTTTTCAGGCAATGTTTAAATATATAATATCATTTTGTTTCGTTGGTATCTTTGGATATTATTATGTTACCATTAAATCTTAGTGTACTATTCTAATAATGAACAAATTTCATGCTGCCTGATAAACTGGAAAGAGATAGAATATACTACCCTGATTGGTCTCCGCCTCTATGTTGGAGCGGCCCCCCAAAAAAAATCTGAGACGCCGAACTTGCCCCTAGAGAGAATGATAAACAATCCTTTTGAAATTGCCTGTTGTCGATTCTTCAGATACGAAACGGTCAACATCGATCTGTCGAGCAAACCCTCCTGGTTCTTTGAGAAAAACCCTTTGGGCACAGTGCCTGTGTTGGAGAAAGGCGATAAGATCATATACGAGAGTACCGCCACGTGTGAGTGGTTGGATGACGTCTACCCGCACAATCGGCTCACACCTTCCGACCCATACATCAAAGCCAGGGACAGAATGATTCTCGAGTACTATGGAAAGGTGAGTCACATTTATTAGTTTTCTTTCTTCTTGTCTCTTCCTCGTTGTCTATGTCTCTATTTCTATCTCTGTGTCCTCTCCATCTGTCTGTCTGTCTGTCTGTCTGTCTGTCTGTCTGTCTGTCTGGCTGGCTGGCTGGCTGGCTGTTTGTCTGTCTGTCTGGCTGTCTGTCTGTCTGTTTGTCTGGCTGGCTGGCTAGCTGGCTACCTGTCTGGTTTCTTTCTTCTCTTATTCTCCACAATCACACTTGAAGTCTGGTATCTGTCATGAATTGGGCCGTCCTGCTCAGTTCATCTGTCTGTCCGTATAGCTTCTCTTGAAGTGACAGTGGGGTTGGCCACGTTTCCTGTTTCAGTGCTGAAGGATGTGTTCAACAGTTTGGTCCGCCTCTCCACACTGGCATTTTGGTGATTGTACTAGTTTAAAATATCTGCACATATGTTGTCTCAGTTTTATGTCTTGTGTTCTTAGTCGGAAGATAATCACTTGTTCTTGGCGGGACAGCTTGTGGTAACTACCTGGTGTCTGTGGTTCTTTAAATAGCGTATTTATAATAGTTTTTGTTTCTGTGTAGTTGACGCTGTTGTCTAGTTGCTCTTTCTGTGCTCATAGTTTGGTCATCCTGCCTGCCTGTTCATTTCATAAGACACCACAGTGCGGTGGAATCCACTGCATCATGATCCTCAGGTATGGAATATCCTCAATTACTTCTCGCCGCCTTGGTAGTTTGCCGGCAGTGATTGCCTGCAGTACTGACATAGCATCTATTAAGAATACTACTTGGCTTTGGGGGTCTACCTACCAAATTCTTGATGATATTTGCTGCATGTATTTGAGCCTCCGTCTCTGCCCTGTAGTTTGTACAATGCCGCCCTGTTGGGACTGCCTCTGCTTGTCGGCGTCCATTTCGGAAATGTGTTGCCAGGCTGTCCAGACATTTATTCGGGAAGGACACTAAAGGCACATTGGACTTACTTTCTTTCTTCTTAATGTCATGAATAGGCGAGGCAGACGAATTTCAGACTCTCTCTGTCTCCCTTCTCTCTCTCTCTCTCTCTCTCTCTCTCTCTCTCTCTCTCTCTCTCTCTCTCTCTCTGTCTCTCTCTCTGTCTCTCTCTCTCTCTCTCTTTATATATCTCTCTGTCTGTCTCTCTCTCTCTGTGTCTGTCTTTCTTTATATATCTCTCTGTCTGTCTGTCTCTCTCTCTCTCAATGTCTTTATATCTCAGTCTCTCTCTCCCCGTCTCTCTCTGTCTCTCTCCTCTCTCTCTCTCTCTCTCTCTCTCTCTCTCTCTCTCTCTCTCTCTCTCTCTCTCTCTCTGTCTGTCTGTCTCTTTCTGTGTGCGTGTGTCTCTTTTGCTATCTCTCTCTCTCTCTGTCTCTCTCCTCACTCCCCTCTCTCTCTCTCTCTCTCTCTCTCTCTCTCTGCTGTCTGTCTCTGTCTCTCTGTCTCTCTGTCTCTCTGTCTCTCTGTCTCTCTGTGTTATTCTCTCTCTCTCTCTCTCTCTCTCTCTCTCTCTCTTTCTCTCTCTGCTGTCTGTCTCTGTCTGTCTCTTTCTCTCTCTGTCTCTCTCTGTCTCTCTCTGTCTCTCTCTGTCTCTCTGTCTCTCTGTCTCTCTCTCTCTCTCTCTCTCTCTCTCTCTCTCTCTCTCTCTCTCTCTAGACGAGACGAGACGAGACGAACAGGATCAAAATTTCAAATTGTTCATTCCCTTACAGGAAGGCTAGAAGCAGTCATAAATGATCTAAGTTATATCAGTGCGAATAAAACAAAATATTAATTTTTCTTTTCCAGATTACCGGCCTCTTCTATGGCAAACTGAGAAAAGATGACACGCTGGAAGAGGGAATTCAGGAGTTGCAAACCCGCTACCAGTTCTTTGAGGATGAGCTGGCTAGGAGAGAGGGGCCTCTATTTGGTGGTATGTTAAAAGGGACACGTTAAAATATAACTTTCAGGGGAAATTGAATATATGTATACATGTTCATTTCTAGCATAACCATCGTTGTCATCATCATCATCATCATCATCATCATCATCATCATCATCATCCTCATCATCATCATCATCATCATCATCATCATCATCATCATCATCATCATCATCAACATCATCATCATCATCATCATCATCAACAAGTAACGTAAAAATCCCAGTAAAAACCTATAAATAGCTTAGTTAGAATAAATTATATTGTACCCCAATTACTAATTAGTAACAGCAGAAAAGTTAAACACTTTGTCACTAACGCTTAATTTTCCTATCTGTTCTCTTTCAGGTGAGCAACCAGCTATGGTTGACTTCTACATTTGGCCTCACTTTGAGCGTCTGCCCATAGTGGCCAGAAAAGACCAGAGGATTGCAGTCAATGTGACGTCATTCCCCCGACTGGCCCGCTGGTACAGCGCAATGTACAAAGTGCCTGCAATCAAGGCCATGGAGGTCGATCCTGATACCCAGGAATACTTCCTGAAGACTGTGGTCGCAGGAGCGCCCGACTTTGATTATGGACTCTAGTTAGAAGCCTTGAAACAAGATGCTGTGAACATAGATGTTCTACAGTAGCCCTGAGCAATCAACCAGAGTGTGAATGTTATTGTGTGTGTATGTGTGTAATATATGTGTGTTTTTGTGTATATAGCGTGTATGTGTATGAGTGGGCATTTGAATGTGACGACACGTGTGTGTATGTGTGTATGCAGGTTTATAATTTGTGTGCAAGTCATTCGTTTTTGTCAAGTGCTCTAACATTTTTACTGCTAAACAATAAATAGCATTGGAAACACAGTGCATGTGCAACGAAATGCGATTCATGACTCTCCTTTTACTGGCATATTTATACAGAAATTGTAATTAATTTCTCTTTATTTCGTTTTTGTTGTATCCCCAATCATGATTTGTTATGGTTAAAAATGAAAATATATACATGGAAAAAGCCATGTTCTGTGGAAGAAAATAGTAAAATAGTAAAATAAATAAATAAATAAATTTTAAAAATGAATAAATAAATCTATTTAAAAAATGGGAGGGGGGAGGGAGGGGGCTTTACTTACAGTACAAACTGGACACTGTATTGTAACGTTGCACTGGTGTTCTGTAACATTAATCTTGTCTCCCTCGTGTCTTCTTTTTCTTGTATATTTTTAAAAAAATCATATTATTATTATTACACTTCTCATTTCCCTGCAACGTCCTTGTTGCTGGTAATTTGGCTGCTATTCATTGTTCAACACCCTCTGTAAAGAGAATATTCAAATGGTAGTGTGGCACATCACTGTCACGTTAGCCAAAATGTATAATGGGTTTTTTTCTGCTTCTGATTCTAATCTTAAATATCTCCTAAATGTATTTACATTTTATTATGAATTGTGTTCTCTGTGTTGTTGGAAAGTTGCTCCCAACCTGATATCTCCGAGAATATGGAAGATTCTAAAAAGGCAATTGTAGTAATACCTAAGAATAATGTACAGAGAAACTGTTATGGTCTTGGTTTTGTATCATTGAGTCAACCACTGGGTGAATGTGGTGCTGTAGAGTGTATAATAGCTTAACCTTTGTGCCGATTTTAGATGTTCACACCCGAAAGAGGTTCAATTTTGGGATAATTTGAATACGTACCAGCTGACTAATAGAGTAAGGTAGGATTCCTCAACATCTCCTCAATAGCTCATTGTAGCTGTTGAGCTTCTTACAAGACAATTAATATAATTCCCTCCACCGCAGGGTATAGCAACTAAGGTACAGACCATCTGAAGATCAGACAATACGCGGAGGTAACAACCTCTTTCAACAGGGACGATCAGAAGCAAGTGTTAAATCGACTACTATAAGAGTAATTAAATTTCTCTGGTCTGCACTTGAACCTTAGCAAAACATTTGCCATGTGTACATACAAGCAGCGCATCGACACGGTAAGAATTGGAATACAGTTCACGGATTGTATGATCATTTTCAGTTTGTACTTCAGTAGTTACAAACCACCTGCAGAAATAAGCAAGAACTGAACCTGCAAGGTATACAACCGACTCGGAGTACTTAGGAAATATTCAAGGGGTGATCTGACAATTTTAGGTAAACTGCATCTGTTTAAAACAAAAGATGACATCACATAGCTAGACTTAAAATACATATGATTTCTTTACCGAAATCTGTATTAGAACAAGTAAACAAAATGTTGTAGGTTCTTGTAAAATATTTAAAAACAGATTCAACATTAAGAAAGCATAATATTAAAAGGGGATCCTCTAATTTTTCTTTTTCATGATCATGAAAACGGGGGACTGAGGATGCAAGAAATGACATTGTTTCACTTTCAAGGTTCATTACTTTTGGCATGGGCGGAAGTACTCCTTAAACCAGGCCGTCAACAATGGAAGAGTATCGTCAAGTCTTTCTATAAAGATCTACATGTCTTCAAGAGTAAGGTCTCTGTGGAAGACTTCAGGAGATAAATATGATCCTCAGTCAATTCTGGTGAGAGGTCCTCACAAAATGGTTGCAGTATGCAAATAATTATGTATTTATACATAAATCTAAGTCATGCTGATGTCAAAATCAATAGTCAAAGACAAATTTATAGAAGCAAAAAATGTGTAAGCTTAATAAACAATACGTCTAGATAGAGAGATACATTGCTCCGCCCAGTGCTGTGAGCGTATCCGAGCATACCGGGCATAATATCAAAAGTTTTAACCAAAGAATATTAATCTACATGTATGTCAGATGGTATAGATGTTAAAAAATTGAAGCTTAAAACGAGCCCATAGTTCAGATATTAATGCTGGGAGATAACTCCTAATAGAACGTTGCTCAGGTCAAAGCATTTGGCCGTATTAACCTGTCCATGCTGTATTGTAAAACAAATGGTCAACATTAGTTTTCTTCTGATAAGATATTGTCAGTAAAAGTCTCACTGGGGAATTGGTACACATATCGGTCAGAGAAGACTGTCAGGCGAGAGGGGGGCTCCGACACCTGACACCTGCCCCCACTACTGCCTTGTGGGTTAGTCCTTTTGGGCAAAGGCTAGCCGAGTAAACTGTACAAAATTCCAGTTGAAGGCAAATGGAAACCACTACTGTATTCTTTCCGAAGAACACCATCGATCAACACACAATGAATGGAGATAACGAAGTAAACGGAAGCTCTGTAAGAGTTGTCTCGTCCGGTATGGTCAGTCATGCACAGCAGCAGGTGACACCAGACCGTCATCAAGATACTGCTCACAAAAATGAAAACTCAAACGAGAAGCATAACAACCTGGAATATGAGAACACTGCTAGAGAAAGGAAAACTGGACAGCATCAAGAAAAAAATAAAGAGAATGAATGTTAACATCATGGGTTTATGTGTAGTACGATGGACAGGAGCTGGCAGCATAGTGTCAGACAGCTGTAAAACCATTTACTCAGCAGAAGGCGACAAACCTGAAAGAGGAGTAGCGGTCATCATGGACTTGCCAACATCGAGGACTCTCAAGGGGTACCTGACATTAGCAGACAGAGTTATGCAAGTGAGACTGAAAGGATCATTCTTCGATGCAACCATCATCCAAGCGTATGCGCCAACCTCAGAATGCACAGAAGAAGAAATAGAGAAGTTTTGTGATGAAATAAATCAAGCTAAGACACATTGTAAATCGCAGGATATTGTCATAGTCATGGGAGATTTTAAAGGAAAGGTGGGAACAACAAGACATGAAGACATAGTGGGCCCATATGGACTGGGAACCAGAAATGAAAGAGGAGAAAAACTGATAGAATGGGTCATCTTGAATGATATCATTATTATTGGAATCACCAAGAAGATTATGGACCTGGAAGAGGAGTCCTGGAGACAGCGCTCGCAACCAGAGCGACTATATCATAATCAATAAAAGATACAAAAACGGGATGCTAAATGTCAAACGCACCCAGGAGCAAACTGTTACAGTGAACATGAACCAGCGGTGGGAAAATTTAGAATCAGATTGAAAAGAACACACATGAACAAGAACAAGAATATGAAACTAAACAAAGCATTACTCAAGTCAAACAAAGAAGACAAAAATGCAAGATAAATTCAGAATAACTGTATAGAACAAATTAGGCCTCTTAGAAGAAATAGAAGACATAGACCAACACTGGGAACAGCTTAAAATATTTATAAATGAGGCTGCAAAAGACGTCATACCAGAAAGGACAACAAAAGCAAAAAAGAAATCGGTGACTGATGTATTTCTAAATCTTATGGAGGAACGAAGAATACACAAAAACAGTCAGGAAAAAAATGTGAATCTTCACAAAGAAATCAGACACAAATTCAATCTAGCAAAAAGAGATCTGGTTAAAAGAAGAATGTGAGGAAATGGAAAATCATTCCAAGGCGGACTCAAACGATCTGCACAAAAAAATCAAAGAGATGTGTCATACAATAACGGTGGATCAACAGGATACCTCAAACCAAAGGATGGGAATATCATAAAGGATATAGATAAGATACTGGAACGTTGAACAGAGTATATCGGTGACCTGTACGATGACAAGAGATGAACTATGAAGAGTGAAAAATAATAAAGAGGGCCCATCAATCCTGAAGGAAGAAGTTATCAAGGCACTTCGAAAGATGAAGAATGGAAAAGCTGCAGGACCTGACAACATTACCACAAAAATGATTAAAGCTTTAGAGGACTTTGGAATCACCACACTGACAAAACTTCTCAACGACATGTATGACACTGGACATATTCCATTAGACTTGTCAAATCTATCTTCATTTCTTTACCAAAGAAACCTAATGTGAAGCAATTTTCTTTTTTTAAATAAATTTCTTCTTCGTGGATTTTATGTCAAACAATATACACAAGCATGAAACTCATTGCACACTCTCAGACAGACTATTATGCAGACACATATACACACATACAAAACACACACACACACACACACACACACACACACACACACACACACA